ATTGTTGTTAATCGACATTTCCATATTTCTACATTTGCGCTTCCATAGTTTTAGAGCCTTTTCTAGATAAATTTTAAATAATGTCGGGAAGAGACAGCAGCCCTGCTTAAGGCCTTTATTTATTTGGAATCCACTTGACAGATTATTTCCAACCTTTACCTTTGAGTTAGAATTAGCGTACAGTTCCTTCGTCGCATTTATTAAATTCATGCTTATTTTTGTTTTCTCTAACGCTTTCTATAATTTATAATGTGGTATGCTATCATAAGCCTTTCGTAGGTCTACATACAATAAATGTACTTCTTGATTAACGGCTATTTTGTTTTCAATGATCTGTGTAATGCAAAACAAATGGTCAACAGTAGATCTACCTGCCCTGAATCCTGCCTGTTCCTCAGCCTCTAAGTCTTTATAATCGCTGTCTATTATATTTTTAATTACTTTTCCGTATTTTCTACTGACCGAGTTTGTCACGGCAATGCCTCTGTAAGTGTCACATTCATCCCTTTTGCCTTTTTTGTATATAGTGGATATGAATGATCTCTTCCACTCATCTGGGGTTGTCATTCCATTAATGCAGTTTTGAAACAGTTTGGCTAAACTTGTATATAATTTGGTTATACCGTGTTTAATTAACTCTGCAGGGATGTTACCTGGACCCGGTGCTTTGTTATTTTTTAGAGATCTGCATACATCTTCCACTTCTTTTGTTGTTATTCGTATAGGCGACGTTAAAATATCTATATTTTGTGTTTCGTTGCTGCCTTTAAATTGTGGTCTATCTTCCTTAGGAGTTTCTCAAAATATTGGTCCCAGTCATCCATTGTTATTGTTGATACTATGTCTCTCTTCTTATCTTGTCGTAAAGATTTTAAGACTCTCTAACTTTCTGTGCTTCTTCGTCTTCCTAGATGTGAATTTATCATGTTTTGTTGCCATGCTTCATTTGTCTTCCGACATATCATTTTTTGTACTTTGGCTTGAAACTCCTTGTAGATTATTTTATCCATTATATTCTTTGTGTTTAAGAATTTTTGATATTGGTCTCTTTTCTTTTTTATTTCTTGTTCTATTTCTTCATCAAACCAATATGGAAGTTTTCTTTGATTCTGGATTTGGTATCCAATGGCTTCTGTTGCTGCCTCTTGGAGACACCTTTTTATGTGAGTATGTAATGGTCTTCATTGTTATTAAATTGTTTATTTTCCAACTTTTGATTTAATCTATTTCTGTATAATTCTCTCACGCTTTCTTGTTCTAAGCTGATTAGGTTATATCTCTTCTGTATTACTTTCTCCCTTTCATTTCCTTCTTTTTCTTTTTTTGGTTTATTTACTCCATATTTGTCTTTTGTCGTATGATTGTGTACTCTATGATTGATTTTAATCCTCTCGTATTTTGCGTCCATTTGTATTTGTGTATGTCTCTGCGTTGAAAAAATTCATTTGCAATTTTCATTTCATTTTGTTCACGTAATGATATTAGTCGTGAAAAGTAGCATTATCGTATATATTCTTAGGGAGGGCAGCATATCTTGAATCTACTCTGACGTCGTCCAATGCTGTTAAGAAAGCCCACTTTTCGATACTGTCGAATACTTTGTGATAATCGACAAATGCCAGATGTAGTGGTATGTTGTACTCTGTTGTTTATTCAATAACTGTCCGGATTGTTTGCAAGTGATCGATAGAGCTAAAACTTTTACGAAAGCCTGCTTGCTCCACTGGTTGGTATGCATCTAGCTTAGCTGTCAATCTGTTTGTTATTATTTGGGTTAGTAGTTTGTAAAGGTGTGGCAATAAGCTTATTGGTAGGTAGTTTTCTATATTTGCGGCGTCCCCTTTTTTATGGAGTAGAATAACTTCCGCATTTTTCCATGCTTTTGGTATTTATCCTTCCAATAGGCATTTATTCAGTAATGCTCTCATTGCTTCTTCTAATGCAGTGCCTCCCATTTTTAGCATCTCTGAAGTAATTTTATCTTCTCCTGGTGTTTCCCCATTTTTCATTTGTTTTAGGGCGGCTCTAATTTCTGATGTTATTATTTCAGGAAGATCCTCTGAGCTCACATTTAAGATATGTTTTGTTGGTATACCGGTGTTTGGAATAGTAAAAGTATACAGCTTCTCATAAAATTTTCGGATTTCTCTAACGATCTCTTCCTTATGCGAGCACAATGTTCCACGGTCGTCTATTACCTTTATGATTTTATTCCTGCCATTGGATTACATGTTTTTAGTACTATCATATTCTTATTTTTCTCTATGGTTTTAAGAATCTGGTTTGTTCTATAAGCTATGAGGTATTTTCGAATATTTTTCTTAACGCTGCTGTTGAGCGCTTTATAGTCTGGCTTATCTCTGTTCGTTTTTCTTCTTTTCTCTATCTGTTCTAGGTCTCGGTTTAGTTTGCTTCCTTTTGTTTTCTTATCTCAACAAGTTCTTAGTGACTGTTTGTATGTCTTTAGTTATTTTCTCAGCTAGTTTATCTATATTCTTGTGCTCAAAGGTATTTGCTACTAGTTTCTGTGCTAATTCCTCTTGGTATTTCTCTTTATTACTGGCTAGGATGTCTGTTGTCGCTAAAGGGTTTGTTGTTAATAGTTTTCGTCTTTCTCTCTTTACGTTAATACGTATATCGGCACGAACTAGTCTATGGTCACTTCCGGTGTTAAATTTGTTCAGCACCTCGATGTTTTTACAAATTGATCTATCACTGGAAAGGATTAAATCTATATCATTCTTAACCTGGTTTTCAAGACTACGCCATGTCCAATTTCTTTGTATTTGTTTTTTATACAACGAGTTCAGGCAAAACATTTTTTCGATGCTTACGTAATTTGCTAATGTCTTTCCTCTGGTTTTTCTGTTGCCTAGACCGAAATTTTCTATGTAGTCTGAGTCGCCTGGTAGTGATGATAACATAGTGTATTTTTTCCAGGTCTTTAGCTCGCGTTATATCTTCGTAGAGTTGTTCTATTGACTCGTCATCCGCAGTGGAAGTTTTGATTATCTATCTACATTTCCTTCTATCCAGAATTTGATTATTTATCTACATTTCCTTAATAATTACTTTATATCAACTAGTTATTTAAGAAGTATAGTTAATGAAATTACTTTATCGTAATTACATACTCTTTCTAATTCTTTTTGAACTAATAAGAAATTGTCATTTATTTGTTCCGCTCAAAACATATTGTTGCCTTTCTCATTAATTCGCAATAAAAAGACAGACAATAAATATTCCTACAAGGGTCCAGATCTTAAAATAGACCGCCACTCTCAAACACATGAGGTTACGCAATCTGCATATTGAAAAAATCTAATTAAGTGAAAAAACACTGATTCATATATACTAGGGGGACTATGTACCTAAACAACAGATATCTGCGTCATTTCCTTATCAGGATTATGGTCACGCTACTAGAGAAAGATCAGTGTATATTTTTGTTAAATGAATTAAGAATTATAGTATTATTATATTATATATATAATATATATATATATATATATATACATTTAAAAATATCCGCAGATTAATATTTAATAAAGACAAGAAATTGTCAGCACTCGTTTGTAGTCTAATAATTATTGTACTCTATACTAGGTAATAAAAATAGGTTACTTGTATAGTTATGTGTATGTGTGTGTGTGTGTGTTTGGAGATTATAGTATTCAAAAAAGGTGTTGTTTATTCTAAGTTCGTTGTTAGTACATAAGTTTATCATCAGTTCTTGAGCATTAAAATCCCCCAATATTATCATGATCTTATATTATGATTACTTGTTCTGCTACTTGATGCAATTCGTCATAAACGTTTCACTTGTTGTTTAAGGCTTATTATTTTCTGGGTCGTATACTCCGATGATGTCCAGGTCTTCCTTCTCCATTCTTAACTTTGCTGTTACGATCCTTTCTGATATGTATTGACACTCTTTAATGTAATTTTGGTACCTTTGGTGTATTATTAAAGTTACCCCTTCTTTGGCCCTGTTTTCTTTTGCTGACTGAGTGTAAGTGTAAATTGGAATAACAAAATGTAGTGTGAATACCTGTTTGATTAAACACAAAAGGAGCTGTCCCCTTAGTCACTGCAGCAGATCAGCTATTGCAGTGCACGCCATCATACAAGACAACCACCAAAATTTAATCAATAAAACAAACGTTTTTAACAGTAGATCATACTACTATCCACATATGTTCAGAGTGGCTATCGAAATCCAAAACACATGACTAATTATAATTGTAAAGAAAAAAAAATGTATCTAAATACTCAGCCCTATGATATATAAAACCTCTCTAGAGATGCACTGAAAATTTCAATAGTGATTTTGACTAACCGACAAATCCTGGAAGACATACGAATTCTATAAATAGCACAAATACTATTTCAGTATCTGAAGACACATACTGAGTGGTACAAGGTTTAATTTGCTGCCGTATCGGCTTTGATAATGCTTAAAGTAGCTGCGTAAACATCAGGAATTAAACAATTTCGGAACATTTCATATCAACACCGATAACAATGTATCATTACAAAAGATCTACTGATAAAGCCTATACACAATCCTAGATATTTAACACTTTTTACAATTATTTTACCATCCAAAGCTACCATCTTATTTTTAGTAGTAACTCCTTCAAACCATTCAACATATTCTGTTTTTGTCCCACTACGCTTTAAGCATTTTTCTTCATGGGCATATTTATGTAATATATTAGAAGAGATACTGGAAAATTATATTATTTTTGAACTTCCCTTGTATAATAGTTAAGGTGATAAAAATCTTACGTTTAGGTTTATTTTAAAATTACATTAAACTACCTATCATTTTAAAAATAAAAAATCAGAAGGTGACATGCGTCACGAGGAGGTCAAGATCCAACTAACTGTTCTTGTCGAATGCTGTACAAATCGTCTAAAAACCTATCAAGTCTACAAATATTTATATTAATTTTATAAGTTTGATCTAAGAGGTCATTCGATATTATTGTTTACAGAATGGCAACCATCGGCGACTGCAAAATACAGAGAGCCCTTGCATTTCGACTTCAACCACCGCGACGAACTTGTCGTCCCTTGCTGATTCGAACTCCGCCATAAACCAGAAAAAAATGAATAAAGACACCAACATCCGGATGGCGGCTCAGGAAATTGAGCCTCTCCAGAAAGTTAAACTAGAAGAACCCGTTCTGGAAGAAGAGGAAGAAAAGCTTGACCTCAATTTTAGAAATATTAAAACACAAGTAAGTAATACTACATTTTATGCCTTTTCACTTTGTTTTTGTCTACTTCTCGTCAAGATTTTTTATGTCTTCAAACGTTATATAATGATTGATCATATAATGATATCTCTAAATCTCTAGATCTTTTTGTTTAATTTCATTTTTCGTTTTACCTTATTTATTTTAACCTTTGTTTTGTTCTGTTTTCCATTGCTTTATATGAAATGCCACTCAAATCCTTTGATTATTTAACTTTTGGCCTGCATTTATGCTTATGAATTATGCCTGTATAATTGCTATATAACATTTAAATACTTATCTCCCTCTCTCTCTTTATCTCTCTCTTTCTCTCTCTCTCTTTATCTCTCTCTTTCTTTCTCTCTCTCTCTTTCTCTGTTTTGTATTATATTTTTTTAGATCTTTAGATCTCACAGCGTATTTTCTATAATTCTTCTTAATATTCTTATCTCCGCCAATTCCAATAAACTTTGTGTTTTGGCTATGTCTTGTCTCATTTCTGATGCATACGTTATTGTTGGTATTATGCTGGCTTTATAAATTCTTCATTTCCTCTCATTGTTAATATATCGGTTCCGCCATATAGTATTATGGGTATTCTGTTAGTCCATCAGCTTCTTTAACTGGATCTCCTTTTTTTCCTGCAGGTCTTCATAGCTGGATAGTGTAATTCCAAGGTATTTTAATTCCATTATTTGTTTCATGCTGACTGTATTATATTTATTTTGGGCTATCAATTTTGCGTCGTCTGCACAACAGACTATATTGATTTCTTTGTTACCAATTCTGTAGACTCTTCTTTTGTTGACACTTTTGATGTTGTCATCTTGTCATGCTGTCATGATTAAATTAAAGTGTTTAGTTATCAATAAGTCACCTTTTGTATAATGTATGTCTGCAGGTTGCGTAAGTTGTAAAACTATTCTAGCTTTCTTTTCTATTATAAATCTTTGTCTTAATCTGTTGAATGCTTTTTTCAAATCGATCAGATATAGGGTAGTATGAATAAAACGGAGTATAAACTTCAAGTATGTTCTCATGAGTATCAGCATAAAGAATAAGTTTGTACTCGACATTATATGAATAAAAATATTTTGATGTAATGAGTTTCTGCTCGCAGTACGTAAGAGTAGTTATTCTATTTATTTTTTAAATTTGTCAGAACCTGTTTGATAGCGTTCGGCATAATCTTGCATTGCGCTTCATTTAAGGAATTAATCATCGTGTTGTCTTATTATTACAATTATTGAAAGCAGTGAAGACGAAAGTAATAAAGGTTGCGAATCCCAAATGGAGTTTGTGCATATGTTTCATCTCCTAAAATTATTGCATTTGACCTTCTAAACTAATTTTTAGCATTGTTCTGAAGCTATTTTCTTGTGGCATTTTAAATTAATTACTATTTGACTGGGAATAAGCCACAATTAAAGATATTTAATTTGTTTGTATTTTGAGAACGATTTCCGAAGTGGAAATTGAAATGTCAATAGACGTATTTTTATCTTTAATTGTGGCTTATTCCCAGTCAAATAGTAAATAATTTTTAGCAATGTGAGAAATTTGTGAATTGCTCCATATCCGTGAATCATTGTCAGATCCTGGCCATGATACGTCTACGCTTGTAAACCAATCGTCTGCATTGCAAGTGGCTTAAACGTTGATACTGCGATATCCCTTGCGATTGATATATTCAATAGTCAATTCTTTGTCCTGCTGGAACATTTATTTTCTTTTTCTTCCCACGTGTTTTAATCTGGGTGGCTTCTGGCTGTGGATCCTGGCCATGATATGTCTACGCTTGTAACCCAGTCGTCTGCATTGCAAGTGACTTAAACGTTGATAATGTGATATCCCTTGCGATTGATATATTCAATGGTCAATACTTTGTCCTGCTGGAATATTTATTTTCTTTTTCTTCCCACCTGTTTTAATCTGGGTGATTTCCTCTCTTTTATCTTCTAAATATCGAATGAAATTGTTTTCGATATCTGACGAACTTGATTTATTATTATTTGTTGTATGACTATCAGTTATCACATTAGATTGCTGAATTTATTTTTAAGCGCTCCAAGCGCGGTGTTATATCACAAGAAACGATACCACATTTTCTAAATCCCGACTTTAATATTTCATCGCTATTCTTTTGTATTTTTTCGATTAATGATCGTAAAAGCTTTGGAAAATGCTGTTTCTCAAGTACATTTGATCTACTCCCCACATGAGTTTCCTTATATTCAGATAAAATTTCCCTTCAGACCCTTTTCATTGGGGCAAATAATGCGGTCTAGCGGTTATATAACGTGGGTGCTATTCAGAGGCAAACATCTAAAATGGATGTCGTGATTTCGACACAAATCCAGTACTTCAACATTAATATGAGAAGACAAATTGTCTCCTAAAACGACCTTCTTTCCCTGAATTTTTTTAAGCCTGGGAATAGAATAGTGTTAACCCAATTTGCAAATGTCTGTGATTCGAACCAACCAGATGCAGTATTTGCATAACGCGTACCATTTTCAGTCCAGGTGTTCCACAAATGCTTGGATTTGTACACCACATAAGGAGGCAGTAGCTCACCAGCTGCATTTCCACACATCATAAGAGAAATGCTACTTTTTGAAGAGTTACAAATTCGTTTAGGATATTTAACCCCACATTTAGTTAATACCTTTTTTTGCCCGGAATCATCTGTTAAGTTTATCTCGTCATATTTAAAAATAGCATGTGGCTCCACACCAGTTAATGTTTGTTTTAAATTTTGTTTGTATTCAGCCATTTGGTCTGCATTGAGTGCTGTTCTACTTCTTTTTTATGTTTGAGGCTATCCATGCTGTAAGGTCCTTATGACGACTTGAAAATGATTTGAGCCAATCCATACCAGGAGTATTATTCTTAAAGCGAGTTATTTTTTTCCATGACGATTTAAACTAGTCTTGATTATTTGTCGTAATTCCACTCCAGTAACAGAAAATCCAGCATCACTAAGGCTATGAATGCATTATACGAAGCACCTTTCCTCTTCATAAGAGAATATTGATGGGTATCCAGGTTTTCCAGCGTGTACTTCCTTTAATTTGTAAAAAATAGTTCTCCTTGGGATGTTAAAGGATTCAACGGCAACTCTTGTACTCATGCCATCTTTTATTGCTGACAGACATGCTTTCAAATCTTCTTCTGAGTAGTCTGCATATTTGCAAGATCCCAGTTTCCTTTTATTACGTCTGGGCATTTCCTAAAAACCATTTTCCTATTAACCTTTTACTCTTGGGGATACTTTGCACCACTTGCAAATTATCGGTGCACAGTATACCCAATTTCATGTTCTACTAGTAGGCTTATCTCTAACTGAAAATGTTCGTGAATTTGAGATAAACTATTTATTCTTTTTATCTGTACTTTTCTACGCCTCTACTTCTCATCCTCCTCTTCTTGTCTATGCTTCTCCTTTAGCTCGTCATCTTCCTTCATTTTTAAAAACCACGCAGGGGTCCGGACGTATCCATTTTATCAAAATCGTTAGCCTTTTGCCTTAGCCCATCTAAGTTGCTGTGTTTTCATGAATGTTACGCCATCTGGTTTATTAAAGAGTTGGTATAATTCGAAATTATATCTTTTGCGCCACTGCCCTTGGTCGTTTATAGCTCCAAATAGTTTGCGGAGTATCTCACGCTCGAATATTCCCAGAAGTCTTTCATCCTTCTGCGTTAGAGTCCATGTTTCCGCCCCGTATGTGAGGACCGGCCTCAACAGTTTTTGGTTTCCCATTCCTCATTTACTATAGAATCCTTAGTAACCAACGTTGATCATACTAGACCTACCTGTTTCGCCCCTGTTTCCAATTTTGGGAAATATTGCTCAACATCTCGTTTGCTATTATGTCGTGTCATCATCGTATGCTAAGAGTTGTATCGATCTATTATAAAGAGTACCACCGTCTATAATTCGTGTGTCTCGGACTGCCTTTTCTAAGGTAATGTTAAATAGGAGGCAAGCCAGGGTATAGTACTGTTCTCTTGACGCTGTCGTATGTGGTCTTGAAGTCGACGAATAGGTTATGGGTTTTAATGTTAAATTCTAATATTTCTCGAGGATCTATCTTATTAGACGAGGACCTATCTTTTCTGGAGTAAATCCGGCCTGGTATTTTCCAACTATGCGTAAATTTGTAGCCTTGCGTAAAGAATATTTGCTAGTATTTTGTAGGCAGTTGTTAACAGGGTTGTACCTCTGTAGTTGTCACACTGGAGCTGATTGCCTTTTTTAACGGGCATATCACGCCTTGAGACCATTCACAGGGCATGGTCTCATTTTGCCAGACAAGAAGTAAAAGTTTATGCACTGTGTAGCAGGGCGTCGCTACCATTCTTGTAGAGCTGACTGCTGAGTGTGCCAATATATTTGCTGTGGCCTAAATGACCAGGTCATCCGCAAAGTCCAGAACATGATGACTGTCGTTGCTTCTACATGAAACTACTACTACTAGGAACAGCTGTAGTGGAAGAAGCAGAGATCCATCGCGAATTAACTGGTTGGATGGTGTTAAGACAGGCTTAGGGGTATTAAAAATTAGAGGATGACAACAGTTCGCCGGAAACTAAACAGAATAGCGACGAATCTTGGAGCAGGCCAGGATACACAAACGATTATCGAGCCACCTTTATTAATTTAAATTATTTTAAATTAGTAAAGGAAGTGATTGTTTATTTACAATCTACAACAAAATTTTGCGACTGAACTATATTAGTGAATCTGGTATTAGCCATGATTGATCCAGTCATTCCGGTAAGAACTAGTCTATGTGCTATTTTGATATATTCCAAAAAAACAATTCTTAAATCAGAACTGTTCACGTTCTCTTTGTAAAACTTGGAATAGGTACTATCGCAACCTAGTGAAGTTCTGCATCGAGAGATATTGTAATTAACAAAGAATGATGTACAGTTGATGATAAAATTATTAGATCCACCCCATAAAGTTAATAATGGTATATAATTGAGCTATAA